ACCTGTAAAGATTATTTTTATGTTAGTGCTTTAATGTAATTTCTATTTCTTTCCACAGCAACGTGCTAAGAATTTAATATTTCCTGAGCCACCCATCTATTAGCTTATTTGGATATGGTAAATGATATCATCTATTTACAGGAGCTTACGCTTATAACTCGCGAATATCTGGACATGAGTTATTTAAACATTAATCTCTTTGTTATGGTGTATGTATTTATTTAAGCATTTATACTATTTCTAAGGCCTTACAAGGAAAGATTTATAATTTTCCCTGTATAATGTACCTACAACTTGTAGTTGAATACAATTTTAATTATGTTTAATTTTTGTCTATGTACCTAAGTATTTTAATTGCGTTTACCTTTTGTATTTACTAAGTTTTTAGAGTTCTAGATCAGCTATTCTCAACCGTTTGAACGCATACCACTGGTGGTACGCAAGAGAAAAATAGGTAGTACAAAAAACGATTACGGATTTTATATTTAGTTAGCTACTTTTACTATAAATATACCTGAAATTGCTTTATTTCCCCGTGCAATGCAGCGCGAAACGAGTTCTAAGAGAAAGCTATGCCGGAAAATTAAAAAGATAAGAGCACGTGCAATTAACATTTAATAAATAAATAATTCTTTTATTTGTATTTAATATGAGTTAATGTAATTGACTACTATGTTAGCTGTAACCGTAATTTTACACTTTTGGTTTCCAGAAATCTCGAGAAGCAAATGAAATTACTAGAATTCTCTCGGGACCGACTGAAAGCTTTAAAAGGCCGGAGAGAAACATCTTACCACAGTAAGACCAATAATGACTTATGCCTGCCCTGCCTGGGCCGCTGCAATGGAAACAAACATTAACCAGCCACAAATCCTACAGTCTAAAATCCTAAGATGCATGACAAATGCGCAGTACTTTGTGAGAAACGAACAACTTCATCACGATCTGAAAATTGAATATGTAAAAGACTATCTCCTTTTAACAAATAGGAAATTCTTCAATTCTGCCAAACAATGCGATTTCCATACTTATTTTGAAACCTTCCGTTATGAGTTAATGAATGAGGCTAGATATCTCCGACCTCTTGCAGCTCATATGTTTGCTGAAAATCAGAATTTTCCCACCTAACTGAATTTATCGGGTATTTTCCGGATTAGATATGTCGTCACTGCCTACCATCAGTTTATTATTCCCACTCCAGGACGTGCTCCCATGTTTTATTATTTCTCAGACCTGTACTGTCTTGCGGTCTCCCCTTCTCATCATGAAACCTCGCTTCAGCGGCACTTGTGTGTCTTACCTCAGTTGTTTAGTTAGCTGTTGTTTGTTATTGTTGATCGATTTAGCTTTCTTTGCGCAGTGGAATTCGTTCTGTATAACGTTTTAGTAGTTTGAAAGATAACAACTGATTATTACTACCTGATATTGTGAACACTTGTATAAATATTTCTGAGAAAATTCCAGCCTTTTGTTATGTTTCTTTCTATAAGAATGAATTTATTCTAAACAACAGTTTCTATCTGTTAACCTGACTTGAGCACAATCTTTTAACCTGACTTGAGCACAATCTTTTAACCTGACTTGAGCATTCAATCTATTACGAATCCGTACGCACTCAACACCGTGAAGAAAAAAGAACAATTGACATAAATTTCCTGTGATCGAACTCTAACTGAAGATTTAAAAAATAACGCATTTGTTAACTTTTGGCTGAACCGAGAAAAAGAATTTAAAGGATTTTCAAGTGAAGATATAAAATTTTTATTTCGTTTTGCACAACCTGTTTGTGTGAACAAGAATTTTCTTCCAATTTATATTTAAAAAATAAATGCAGAACAAAATAGAAGTGAATTCTAATTTACAATTAAAACTAAGTGAAATAAGACCAGACATAAAGAAATCGATCTCTCTTAAAGAGGGCCAAATTTCACACTAAATTTTAGAATTGAATAACTTAAATTTTGATAATTAAAATGGTAACCAATTTTTAATATAATATTTTTATGTGTGATATTTAGTACAAATAACTAATAGGTTGCGCAAATAGCAAAATATGTTTTTTTAATATTTCTATTACGAAACTGAAAAATAAACATTGTAAAATGTAGTGGTGATGCTAAAGTTTTTCAATTTATGTTTAGATGGTACGCGTTAGTCAAAAGGTTGAGAACTGTTGTTTTAGACTATTAATTAATTCCGAAGGTGATAAATCATCCAACACACGGAGAGGATAAGATGATTTGTTATCTATATATTCATTAAAATATCGACGTTTTTTAATTTGCTTAAATTTCTGTTGCAATGTTTCTAAAATATAGAGAGGAAACCTAAAAAGTGCACATTCACTAGATCAAAACTCCTTTAGTTTTTATATCCATTGGCAGAAATTTAACGAAACAACCTCTCTGAATGGTTGCCATTTGCTAGTGTCATAGCTTGATGGAATATTAAATTATTTTATTTCTTATTATCTAAACGCGTGAATGAAGGGAAGTGATTACTGAAGTGAAGCGAAATTTAGACCGGTGACTGAAAACTAGTAAATTGCAGAACTGAAAACTAAAGTAATTTTCCCCAATGTAAGTAATTTCCTTTCTCCTGCGCTAGCTTTTTGCGCTGCCAGTCGCTTGAAATATTTACCTTAAAAATATTTATGTAATGATTTTAACGCGACTAGAAAGCGTAATCATCTTGGTAGAGCTAATAATTAATAAAAACTATCCTCGTTTTTATAAGCTTTTACTGAACTCTCTCAAGTGTTTGTCACTGCCATCAAAACATTCTAATTCATTTTTAAAGTATTCTTTGATAATTTTCAAGTTCAAATTTTGCACATACATACAATCGGGATTAAAATACAATGTGGCGCAGAAATTGTTTCAAAACATAGCTTAGATTTTCTTAATTATTTTTTTAATTTAATGTTGAAACAACTATTCGCACGTGTCTTCGTTTAACGAACAAACTAAAACCATCAAAATTTTAATCTTTGCACCATCAGAGAGAGCAGAAGAAATTTTTTAAATCATATGAGATTTCATAAAGTTCATATGAGATTTTCATATGTTTCTTAATTTATTATTTTAACCAATTGAAATAGCATTAATTGTTAGAGTAAATGATTGATTATTTATTGCTCAAAAATGATTTTTCAGCTGCATTATTTGATTATTATTTTTAAAACGCTTAGATTCTTAATCAATAATAAAGAGATTAAATTTAAGAAAAAAATCAAATATCTTAATGCTTTTCTGAACTTTAGCATACTGTTACGATGATGATAAAAATATTTTATATCCGGCAGTAGCAACACATTTCTGTTAAATAACTAAGTTTGTTGATTGAAATTCAAAGACAAATATCTTACGCTTTTACAAGCGGCAACACACTGCTTTTAACAATATCTGCTGTTAAACAATATCTCATTAAATTCGTACAAAACTTAAAATAAATTTTTAAAAAATTTTTAATTCGCCCTTAGATGTGCACATGTTAAAGAGAATGAAGAAAAATTCAGAATCGGATACTTGTACTTATCGCGATATTTTCACAGAGTGAGGATGCATACAGATTCTTCGTTATCTAATAACAGAGATGAAAAACTGCATTTATTGCTTTTAAATCGCTTAATTTGATAATCAATAAAATGCATATTAAATCTGGAAGAAAAAATCAAGTATCTCCTGCTTTGCTAAATGACAACACAATGGCTGTCAGAATTTTAAATATTTTATTTCGGGTTGTAGAAAAACATTTCATTGAAATCGATGAGTTTGTTGATCAAATTTGAAAGACAAATATCTTAAGCTTTGCAAAGTGGCAGTATGTTTAAATAATTCAGATTTCCGATTAAATTGGAAGTATAAAAACCTTACTTTTTGTAAATGGCAATAAATTTCATTTAAACCGCTCAGTCCATTATGTTCACCCAAAAGTAAATTTTAAAAAATACATGTTCGGGCAGAGGATTATGTATCTTTCAAGGTTCGTGGTTCTAGTTGCCGTCATTTTTCCACGATGCGAAGGTTAAATATACATTTATGTAAGATACAAAAATATTACAGAAACGTATTAAAAATTTAATTTACTTGGAATAAATTGGCAATACTTTTTTAAAGTTTTAGTTTTTAATCCTAATATAAATCCTTCAGCTAATCTACATATAACCTCATTGAAGTCACCCTTTCCATGCAATTTCTCTGTTTGCCCAGTCGCTGTCCAAAACTCAAAGGAATCGAGATTATAAATACCTCCAAATGCTTAATACGCTTCACTTTTCTGCCTGCTGCTTCCAGAATAAGACACGTCACTCGATTCGCTGTACTATCTAAAATGTAAGCTGCGTATACGAAATTGTGGGGTGCCTATTGCACCCATCATCATGTGTGAAGCAAATATTGTGTCTCCAGAACTGCTTTACGTATATAATCATACACTTATGCTGAATTCGCCCACGTCTATTTGTATGTCTAACATTCCATCTACGCAATAAACATTACCATTCCGTTGCAACTATCACAAGGAAAATTATAAGTGAATTGGTTTTATCTTTCCTAGCTAACGAGCCCACTCTTTACTATTTTTTTATTGGTTGGTATTAATATTAAGTATTAATTATTCTTTATTGGTAGGTTCTATCAACGTACCAATAAAAATATTGCACATACGCATAAACATACACACACACAATATATATATATATATATATATAATATATGGGGGGTGTCTTTCTACTTTACTTTAGGAATGACACCAATGTTAAGATTTAGTATTTTAATGAAAAAAAAAGAAACATAGAAATATGAAAAGCAGTAAGATAAAAATTTAGCTCCATAGCATAGGGTGGCATCACAATAGTGGTAATCCTCACGCCAAATGGGGATGTTTGACAGTCTCTTAACTACTACGTAATACTTTTTAGGATCCGTTCACCACGTTGCTGTCGCACCATCTCTCACGCGCAGAAGTGGAGAAGTTAACTTATCACACAGCTTCGAGAATCATCTAGCTGCTGATGCGGTTGCCAGGTGCAGGAAGGCGAAAGGTCGATACGTTGTAAAATCGAATGTCCACACGGCCATTCTGCCTTGCCAGGCGTCCTCGCCTGGTGGTTGATCTGAAAAGAACGAAAAAAAAGCAGATAAAGTGAAAAAAAAAATCAATGTCCAGGTGGTGAATGTTAGCTTTGTGCACCACCAGTTCATTTTATCAGTACAGGTTGATATCATAATGGTTCCTTCATAGCGTATCTTTCGTACTTCGTAACAATCAGAGGGATGAACTGACTCATAAGGACCGAAGAATTTGGGACGAAGTTTAAGTCCAAGTTGCAGTTCAAGTCGAAGATTCAATCCAAGTGGAAGTTTCAGTTCAGGCTGGATTGGCATTTGGTGTCCAAGTTTATATTTGCAGGCAGGTTTTCGACGTTTCTTATACTGTCGTATATGTGCTTGATGTAAACTGAGGAGGTTCCGTTGAGCTTCAATGCATAATGCAGCTTTTTCATCTTCATGCTGTGTCAGCAATTTCATTGTCTTTGAAGTTCGTTTAAATTTTCTTCGTTTATACTTCCAGGCTCTCTTCTTGCGTTTCTTGGGGTGTGAAGTAGATAAAGTGCATGAAATTGTAATTTTTCTTCCAAATATTTCAGCATTCTTTGTTGCCTCAAAAGCTTCAACTGGAATGTCAGAGGCAAGTTGTTTCCTTAGATTATTTTTCTGTTCTTTGGGAATTTCTGCACTTTTAGCAGGTGTTTTCTCGTTTGCTTGATCAGCACATGCTTGTTCCAACTGATTCAGTTTATTTGTCGCAGTTTCTTCATTATTCTGCACACTTGGATCATTATCAACATCATCATCATCATTAGCTTCATGACTGTCATCATCATAATCTTCGTTGTCATCAACATCATCTTCATTGACATGAGCTTCTTCAACAACAGCAACGTCATCTTGGTCAACATCATTAACATCATCTTCAATAGCTTCAGAAGTGCCATCATCATCAGCAGCGTTATGATTGTCGTCATCATCAATATCATGATCTTGTTCCATGTCGTCGTCTGCGTCATCACCATCTTCATCAACATCATCGTCATGAGCTCCATGATTGGTAGCAGCATCATATTTGTCATCGTAATCATCCAAATCCAAATTGGTATCATCTAAATCCAATTCTGAATCGTCATGTGCAGCATCATGATTTTCCTTACTTGTTTTCTTCAACTGATTTTCATTTTCTGTTATTTTCTGAAAATCTTCCATAGCAGTGTTAACTTCGTGTGGGTTGTGAGGAGTAATGATATGTTAGTTCAAGAATTTCCGATTTTGAGATGTGTGAAAGATCAGGTGGAAATGTGTGATCATGAGTAACATTAGCAACAGTAACCAAAATTTCATCATTATTATTGTTGCATAAATGAATACCATCTTTATCAAATGTAAATCGAGTTTGTTGCAAAAAGTCAATTCCTATAATCACATCAAGATGTTTCAAAATATTCTAAGATCTATAAATCGACATCAATCGCTTTTAAAATGTAACTTTTAATATGTACAATATTTACAGATCATAGATCAAACATGGTGGTTCAGTTGAGAAATAAATCTATATGCTTTCATAATCGAAAATCGAAATCAAATAGGAACCGAAGTGTTCCTAATCAAATAGTGTGCGAACCATCAGACATCCATCTATCGAGCTGCCGGTGGAGAGTCTATGGAAATTCAGAAGGCACGTCGCGTCGCGTTAACACGCAACGCTAGCGCCATCTATCAATTAATCAAAATAATTTCCACACACTCCCCACCTGAACTCTGTCAAGAGTTCACATTAATCTAACAACAATCAAATTTATATCAATAAGTATTTTAACATATAATTATAAAACAATTGATAAGTATATTAAATGAATAGAAAATATATTCAAATTATAATCACTATACTAAATTCTAAAAAAAGGTATGTTATCATCAAATATAATTTGACACTACTTCAGTAAATCTAAAAACTATTCTTAATCTAAGCATATGAAACTAAATATAGCAAAATAAACAATCGCATAAAACATATTCAATCATATTCATATTATTAAACAATAAAAAAAATTTAAAGTTCTAAAGGATATAATAATTGAACTGGTCGTTTTATTATTGTTCCATCAGCAGTTTTTAGTTCACAAGAACGAACTTTGTTGTCACGACCACGAAAAACGTTTATCACTCTGCCACAATTCCACAAAAGTTTGCACTTATTGTTGCCTTCAATTAATACAAGATCATCAACTTTTAGATCATCATAAACGTTAGGATTTTTTAATTGATGAGCTGTCCGAAGATCCATCAAATATTGTTTTTTCCATTTAGTCCACAATTGCCTAACCAATAAATCTTGATAAATCTTTCTTTTGGTCAGAGAGGACTTGGTAGAGCCATCTTTAACAATGGAATTAAAGTTGATAGGTAATGTAGAATCTTTGTTTCCAAAAATCAAAAAATTGACTGGCTTCAGTGGCAACGGTTCCTTGTGGCTCATTGTACACATATGTCAAAGGACGAGAATTCAAAACAGCTTCCACTTGTGCTAAAACCTGTTGACAATTCTTCAAACGTTAGTAAAGCTTTACCGAGAATTTTTCTTAAGCACTCTTTCACTGATTTTACTAATCTCTCGTAGAAGCCTCCCCACCAAGCCCCTCGTTCTATTATAAACTTCCAACTGATTCTTTCATTCGACAGAAAATCTTGGAATTTTCTCATTCGACAATAGTTTAGAGAAATGTTCGAGTTCCTTTTTTTCCCTTTTTAAAAGTTTTCGCGTTGTCCGAATAAATTACTCGACAATTGCCTCTCCTAGATGTGAATCTTTTGAATGCCATCAAGAAAGAATCTGTAGAGAGATTCGGTACAAGTTCCAGATGTATGGCTCTAGTGATAGCGCATGTAAATAATGTTACATAGGCTTTTTGACTTCCTTCGATGTTTTTTACGTAAATCGGTCCAGCAAAATCGATGCCAGACACGTAGAATGGTGGTGTCTCATTGATTCTGTCTTCTGGAAGTTGAGAAGTGGTCTGGTCAGCAGACTTCAATGAATATCTTTTACAAATAAGACACTTGTTTATTATTTTCTTGATAAATTGACGTCCTTTTGGGATCCAAAAGCGACTTCGAATTTCAGCTAAGGTCGTTGCTACTCCTCCATGCATCATTTTAACATGTGCACTTTCTACTATCAAATTCGTTAGCCAGGAGTCTCTTGAAAGAATTGCCGGATGTTTTTCATCATGTGACAAACTAGAATGTTCTAATCTTCCACCTGCTCTCAGTATCCCGTTCTGGTCTAAAAATGGGTTAAAAAGATATAAAGATGATTTCTTTTTCGACTTTATTCGCTTTCTTCAGAGACTCAATTTCTTTCGGGATAAAAACGTTCTTGTTCAGATCGAATCCAATAATTTTCGGCATCTACTATTTCTTCAGTCGTTAATGGACCTGTCAAATGGTTTGTTTTCCTAATTTTACCAATGAATCGCTTCATCCAACCAGTTATTCTCAACAATTTTCTTAAATTACTATATTTTGAGATGTCTATAAGCCTTTCTTCAACTGCCTGTGCACACAAATTCATAAATATCATTAATGTTCTTGCGGTATTCTAATTTCTCTTCAGTGACAGGTTTCTCTTCATTCTGTCGAGGCCACAACTCAGACGACATTCTAAGCCATTCTGGTCCTTGAAACCAGATAGGATTGTTTTTCAAATCATGAAGTTTAGCTCCTCTCGAAGCCAAATCAGCGGGATTACATTTACCGGGGCAATAATGCCAATTTTCTGGGGATGTCAAATTTTGTATTTCCTGAATACGATTTTTAACGAAAAGCTTAAATTTCTTTGCACAGTCTTTTATCCAGAAAAGTGTGATTTTCGAATCAGTCCAGAAAAAACAAGAAAGTTGTAACTTCAAAACTTTAGTGATGCTAGTGCCTAATTTGGCTGACAAAAGAGCTCCCATTAGTTCCAACCTAGGTAAGGTGAGCGGTTTTAAAGGCGCTACTCTAGTCTTTGAAGCAACAAAAAACCGTAAATATTTGTTCATTGCTAGAAATTATACGCAGATACGCTACTGTACCATACGCCTTTTTGCTAGCGTCAGAAAAACAATGCAGTTCAATCTTTTTCACATCACTGTTACCAATTGCAGAAAAATAATATCGTGGAATACCGATTTCGTCTTCTTTGCACCATGTTTTCCATACAGAACATAAATTTTCTGGTAGTTCATCATCCAAATCTAAAGCAAGTGTCCAAATTTGCTGCAATATGATTTTGACTCTAAGTACAAACGGTGATAATAGACCTATAGGATCAAAAATTCGTCCTATTGCTTGTAGGACAAAACGTTTAGTATTAACTTGTTTTGAGAGAAATGTTATCAAATTTTTTACATCAAAGTAAATTATGTCACTTTGGTTGTCCCAAGCGACTCCTAACACTTTCAGTGGAGGATTTCTAGCTTCCGAAACATGACTAGATTCCTCGGATTCAATACCTTCTTTAATCCATAATTCGCGCAGTTCTTGAGAATTGGTGTGCCATTTATGTAGAATCATACTAGCATCTCTAAAAATGCTAACGCATTCTAAACTGGTATTGAAAGCAAGTTCAACGTTTTGGTGTCCTCCAATGATGTCATCTACATAAATGTGATCATTTAGAAATTCGCAAGTGGCAGGGTAGGTTTTCTCATATTGTTTCAAATGGTGTTTAATGGTTGCAGCCAGTAAAAACGGACTGCTATTTACGCCAAATAACACACATGTGAACCGATAAGTTATAAAATTTTGTGGATCATCGAATGGGTTTTTAGTAAACAGAAAACGCGTTACATCTCTGTCCTTCTCATCTACTTCTATCTGAAGAAAAGCCTGCTTTATGTCACTTGTAAATGCTACAGGATGAAGCCTGAAGGCCAACAGAAGTTTCAAGAATGTCAGGATACAAATTTGGACCAATATGCAAGCAGTCATTTAACGAGATTTCACCAGGTCCATGTGAGTCCATGTGACGCGTCGAATACGATACGTAGTTTACTAGTAGTTCGATCACTACGAACGATTTCTCTGTGAGGCAAATAAAATGTGATTTGAGATTCACTATCAACAGTGTCTGGAGCTGGTTCAATGATGTTTTGTTGTAAATAATCTTGTAGAACTGTTTGATACGAATAAAAGAGTTCAGGGTTATTCTGAAATCGCTTTACAAGTTTCTCAAATCGTTTCAGCGCAATCGCTTTATTGTCATGTAACTCATATTTTCTATCAGACTTCCATGGCAGCCTAACCTTGTAACGAGAATTTCTGTATAAAATTTCCGGTTCGAATTTTTCCATTATGGTATTGTCTAATGGGTCGGATGATTCAGTTTCAGGTTTTATATCTAAACTTTCAAGCTTCCAAAATTTCTTTATCTGATCAGATATTATATCTTCCTCAACTATGATATTAAAGGCTGTGGACGTGTGTGTTGTACCTCAGTAGTTACCTTAGCTGTTTCCGCATTAACTTCTCGTCAGTAATTTTGCTTAGAAAAATTTGTTTTTGCAGTGTTGACTCGAGCTTTAGGCCGTTCATCGTAGAATCATCGTTACCTGTCATCATGCGAGATTCTCTCTCCGAATACTACACTTTATTATTCCTTTTTTATACAGAACAATATGGGCTTGAGTCTTCACTGAAGAAATTAAAAATAAAGCAGAGTAATTCGTCACTTTCGAACAAAGACTTAAATGCCAATAACGAATTCTCCGACTAAGGCGAGCGTCGAAAGTCCCGTGCTTTGCCACGTAACATTAGAAAATCCTTAGCGGATCTTTAGTTTTTTGCCGGGTAGGCTTTCAGCGTTATAGAATGCCTAGAAAATACGTTAAAAATTAATCATATAATACTTTGACACCCAAATTTCAGCCTCCTATATATCTAGGTATTCCATATAATGCCTATTTGCATGTAGTGCTAGTAAAATATGCATCTTGGTTTATCATAAATTTTTAAATATGTTAATTTAAAGTTGAACGTTTGTTCTAATATACCTATAATTCAGCCTTATCGTTTCTTAACCAGCTAATAATTCAATAACAGGAGGATACTATTTTGCAATGTAAGCCATCCTTTGGCAATTCTGGCTGTAGGATAAAAAAGACTATGACAAATAACCCAAGAATACTATTTTTACGAAATCTAAAATTATAAAAAGTCATTCAATC